GGAGATCTTGTCTTTTTATACTTTATACTTCCCATGTAGATTAGAGCTCTGTAAGTCTCTCTTAGCATCCTCATTTTTGTCTAAGATCTGGGATTGTGGTTTGTAGGCTTGCTTTCTTTGCTTTATGCTTAAAAACCACCTACGAGTGAGTTTATGTGATAATTATCTTTCTGTGTCTGGATTACCACACACAAAATAATGTTTTCTAGATCTATCTATTTTCCTGCAAAATTCAAGATGTCCTTATTTTTTCTGCTGCGTAGCACTCCATGGTGTAAATGTACATTTTTCTTATCCATTGTTCTATGGAGGGGCATTTAGGTTGTTTCCACATTCTCGCTATGACAAACAAAGCTGCTATGAACATAATTGAGCACATGTCCTAGTAGCACGATTGAGCATCTTTTGATTATAAACCCAAAAGTGGTATTACTGGGTCTTGAGAAAGGCTGTTTACTAATTTTCTGAGAAATTGTTACACTGACATCCAAAGGGACTGTATCAGCTTGCATTCCCACCAGCAATGCAGAAGTGTTTCCATTTCCCCACAACTTCTCCAGCATAAGTTGTCATTGGTGTTTTTAATTTTGGCCATTTTTTCAGGTGTTATATGGAATCTCAGAGTTATTTTGATTTGCATTTCTCTGATTAACGATATTGAACATTTCCTTAAGTGTCTTTCAGCTATTTTAGATTCCTCTGTTGAGAGTTCTCTGTTTAGGTCTTACTCCATTTTTTTTTTTATTGGATTATGTGATCTTCTGGTGTCCAATATCTTGAGTTCTTTGTATATTTTGGAGATCAGACCTCTGTCTGATGTGGGGTTAGTAATGATCTTTTCCCATTCTGTAGGCTGTCGTTTTGCCTTGTTGATCATGTCCTTTGCTTTACAGATGCTTTTTAGTTTCAGGAGGTCCCATTTAATTGTTTCTCTCAGTGTCTGTGCTACAGCGGTTATATTTAGGAAGTGGTTCCCTGTGCCAAAGCCTTCAAGTATACTTCCCACTTTTTCTTCTATAATATTCAGTGTGGCTGGCTTTATGTTGAGGTCTTTGATCCATTTGGACTTGAGTTTTGTGCATGGTGATAGATAACAGTTTATTTTCATTTTTCTACACACTGATATCCAGTTATGCCAGCACCACTAGTGAAATATGCTTTATTTTTTCCATTTGATAATTTTTGCTTTCTGGTCAAATATCAAGTGTTCAGATATATGTGGATTGATGTCCGGGTCTTCTAATCAGCTCCATTGGACCTCCTGGCTGTTCTTATGACAATGTGAGGCTGTTTTCAGTACTGATTGAAGTCAGGGATTGTGATGCTTCTAGAAGTTCTTTTATTGTATAGGATTGTTTTGGCTATCCTCGGATTTTTGTTTTTCATATTTATACGAATGCTGCTCTTTTGAAGTCTTTGAAGAATTTTGCTGGGAATTTGATGGGCATTGTATTCAATATGTAGAATGCTTTTGGTAAGAAATATGATCAATCTTGCTTGACAGAGTTGTGTCGGCTTGGAGATTTGAAAAAACAGGCCATTGCCTAACTCAGATCTGAGCAGTCAACATATGTAAGGGCACCATCAATCTGTCTCTTGTTAATGACATCCCCTCTCCTAGGGAAGAGCCTACTCTTTTTTAAAGTCAATATAGAAAATTTTATTAAATCTTAAAAGTGCACTTTTTTGGTGTATTGAGACAGAGTTTCTCTGTATCTTTGGAGCCTGTCCTGGAACTAGCTCTTGTAGACCAGGCTCACCTCAAACTCACATAGATCTGGCTGCTTCTGCCTCCTGTGTGCTGGGATTAAAGGCGTGTACCACCACTGCCCAGCTAAAAGTGCATTATTATCATCACTTTAAAAATCACTTTTTTGTATCAGTTTCAAATACTTTCTTTAAATGTATTGCTGCTCTTATCTCTATTTGTTTCTGTTCTCCAATGTTTCTAAGTCATTCATAGTTTCATTTCATTTCTTTCAAGTTATGTTGATTTCTATGTAGAGTTATGTCTCCTATATTTAGGCTTGCCTCATGCTATGTAATTGAGAATTATTTTGAACATCTAATCCTGCCTCAGCTGCCCAGCTGTGGGAAGACAGTCCTGCAACTCCTTCCAGGTTTGTCCTTCACTAGTCAGTGAAAAAGAAAAATAGAGCAGTTAATGAGTGTCTGCTAATCATTCTGGCTTTAGGGGGGGACTTAGAAATGAAGAGGGATTGAACTCCTTGTCCAACTTTGAAGCTGGTGGAGACACAGTACAGGAAGTGAGAGGTTGGCCTGAGGGAAAGAACTTTCCTCCTTCAACCGAGATTACTTTTCTGGAATCAGGTAGTCCATTGTAGATGCTGTATGATTGTCCTGATTAACCATTGTTTGCAGTCCGTGGAGCTGGGCCATCAAGAATCTGGGTAAGGGACTGAAACCTAATTGCTCTGTATACAGTAGTTCATCTAAAATAGAAGATCTGTGTAAAATGTTGTGTCCCTGCTTAATAGGACTGCTAGTTTTCTGGATTAAGATCTTTATCTTTCTAGAAAATATATAAAATATATTTATTGTGCTCTAGTACAAATCCCTAGTCTCTGGAGCATATGGTCATAAATCCTGTTTCATCTCTTCAAAATAATTTTTGAACTACATCATATCCATATTGTCTTTGTACCTAACATGATC